TTCACAATTTGTATGGAAATACAAAAAACCTCGAATAGCCAAAGCAATCTTGAGAAAGAAGAATGGAACTGGAGGAATCAACCTGCCTGACTTCAGGCTCTACTGCAAAGCCACAGTCCTCAAGACAGTATGGTACTGGCACAAAGACAGAAATATAGATCAATGGAACAAAATAGAAAGCCCAGAGATAAATCCACATACCTGCGGACACCTTATCTTCGACAAAGGAGGCAAGAATATACAATGGAAAAAAGACAACCTCTTTAACAAGTGGTGCTGGGAAAACTGGTCAACCACCTGTAAAAGAATGAAACTAGAACACTTTCTAACACCATGCACAAAAATAAACTCAAAATGGATTAAAGGTCTAAATGTAAGACCAGAAACTATAAAACTCCTAGAGGAGAACATAGGCAAAACACTCTCTGACATAAATCACAGCAAGATCCTCTATGACCCACCTCCCAGAATATTGGAAATAAAAGCAAAAATAAACATATGGGACCTAATTAAACTTAAAAGCTTTTGCACAACAAAGGAAACTATAAGCAAGGTGAAAAGACAGCCTTCATATTGGGAGAAAATAATAGCAAATGAAGAAACAGACAAAGGATTAATCTCAAAAATATATAAGTAACTCCTGCAGCTCAATTCAGAAAACTAAATGACCCAATCAAAAAATGGGCCAAAGATCTAAACAGACATTTCTCCAAAGAAGACATACAGATGGCTAACAAACACATGAAAAGATGCTCAACATCACTCATTATCAGAGAAATGCAAATCAAAACCTCAATGAGGTACCATTACACGCCAGTCAGCAACAGTAGGCTGCTATCCAAAAGCCTACAAGCAATAAGTGCTGGAGAGGGTTTGGAGAAAAGGGAACCCTCTTACACTGTTGGTGGGAATGTAAACTAGTACAGCCACTATGGAGAACAGTGTGGAGATTTCTTAAAAAAGTGGAAATAGAACTGCCATATGACCCAGTAATCCCACTCCTGGGCATACACACTGAGGAAACCAGATCTGAAAGAGACACGTGTACCCCAATGTTACTTGCAGCACTATTTATAATAGCCAGGAATGAAAGCAACCTAGATGCCCATCAGCAGATGAATGGATAAGGAAGCTATGGTACATATACACTATGGAATATTACTCAGCCATTAAAAAGAATTCATTTGAATCCATTCTAATGAGATGGATGAAACTGGAGCCCATTATACAGAGTGAAGTAATCCAGAAAGATAAAGACCAACACAGTATACTAATGCATATATATGGAATTTTAAAAGATGGTAACAATAACCCTATATGCAAAACAGAAAAAGAGACACAGATGTACAGAACAGACTTTTGGACTCTGTGGGAGAAGGCGAGGGTGGGATGTTCTGAGAGAATAGCATTGAAACAAGTATACTTTCAAGGGTGAAACAGATCACCAGCCCAGGTTGGATGCATGAGACAGGTGCTCAGGGCTGGTGCACTGGGAAGACCCAGAGGGATGGGATGGAGAGGGAGGCAGGAGGGGGAATCAGGATGGGGAACACATGTAAATCCATGGCTGATTCATGTCAATGTATGCCAAAAACCACTACAATATTGTAAAGTAATTAGCCTCCAACTAATAAAAATAAATGGAAAGGAAAAAAAAAATAAATAAAATAATTAATTAACAAAAAAAGAGAGAGAATCCACCTCCCAGTGCAGATGTTTGATCCCTGGTTCAAGACGATCCCCTGGAGAAGGAACTGGCGACCCACTCCAGTATTCTTGCCTGGGAAATCTCATAGACTGAGGATCCTGGCGGGCTACAGCCCATGGGGTTGCTAAGAGTCAGGCATGACTTACCAACTAAACAACAACAACAAAGTTACATTTTTTTTGTTTTGTTTTCCCCCCATACTTAAAAATTTTTTTTCTAAGACCAATATCAACGAGTATACTGCCTGTGTTTTCTTCTGGAAGTTTATGGTTTTAGGTCTTACATTTAAATCTTTAATTCATTTCGAATTTATTTTTGTTCATGGTATAAATAAGTAGTCTAGCTTTGATTCTTTTGACTGTAGCTGATCAGTTTTCCTCATACCATTTTTTGAAGAGGCTGTCTTTACTGCATTGTATAGTCTTGCTTCCTTTGTAAAATAGTAACTGTTCATATAAGTATAGATTCATTTCCAGGTTCTCTCTTCAGTTTCATTGATCAGTGTGTCTGTTTTTGTGCCAGTATCATACTCTTTGGGCTTCCTGGCTGGCTCAGATGGTAAAGAATCTGCCTGCCATTCAGGAGACCCAAGTTTGATCCCTGAGTTGGGAAGATCCCCCGGAGAAGGGAATGGCAACCACTCTAACATTCTTGCCTGGAGAATTCTATTACCAGAGGAGCCTGGTGGGCTATATAGTCTATGAGTCACAAAGAGTCAGGCACAAATGAGTGATAAACACAGACATCATACTCTTGATTATTGTAACTTTATCATATGGTTTGAAATCAGGGAGCATGATACTCCAGCTTTGTTCTTTCTCAAGATTGTTTTAGCTATTTGGGGTCCTTTGTGTTTCCATACAAGTTTTGTGAAAATGCCATTTGTGTTTTGATAGGAATTGCACTGAATCTATAGATTACCTTGGGTATTATGGTCATTTTAACAATATTAATTCTTCAAATTCATGAGCACCATATATCTTTTCATCTGTTTGTGTTGTTTTTAATTTCTTTCATCAGTGTCTTAAAGTTTTCCAGGTACAGGTGTTTTACCTTCTTAGAATTATTTTTAGGTATTTTGTTCTTTTTGGTGCAATTGTAAATGGAATTTTTTCTTAGTTTCTTTTCCAGATAGTTTATTGTTAATGTCTGGAAGTGAAATAGATTTTTGTATATTAATTTTGTATCCTGCAACTTTACTAAATTAATTGATGAGCTCCAGTATTTTGGTGGTGTCTTTAGGATTTTCTATGTATAATATCATGTTGTCTTCAAACAGTGACAGTTTTCCTTTCCCTTTTCAATTTAGATATCTTTCATTTATTTATTTTTGTGTGATTCCTGTGGCTAGGACTTCCAAGTCTATGTTAAATAAAAGTGGCAAAAGTGGGCATCACTGTCTTATTCCTGATCTGAGAGATAGTTTGAATATTTTTTATAACACATTTTGTAGAATTATAGACTTTTCAAACTATGTGGCTGTGTATTTTTTTTAAAGAAATGCATATTTGGAAAAAGTCACGTAGATCATACCACTGGCTTCAAGATTTTTTAAAAAATAAACCCATTCCTTATATTAATCTCTTGCCATGACAAGCCTCTTACATTGGGAAGCTTAATTGTCATGAAAGTTGTCACCAAATTCTAGAGCTGGGAAAATCCTAGCTGATTTTCTAATTGAACAGTGTATTTAATATAGAATAAATCACATTGAGAGAGGAGAAATGATTCACCCGATGGCATAAGTATGGGCCAGGTGTAGGGTCTAGGGCTTCTGACTCCTGACCCAGTGTTCATTCCAGTCAACTGCACTGCCTCTTGTTCACTTGTATATGTTTCATTGCTCAGTATAAGCTCAGGATATTAGGGGGCTGTTTGGAACCTTGTGAAAGATTCAACATTGCTCTCTATTAAAGGCTGACAAGAAGGAAGGGTTCTGAAGATGTCACACCAGCCACTGAAAGCCAGATCTTGTGGGGAAGTCCTCTACCAATTGTGGGAATACCATGAGATGTATACTATGTAAATCTTGCTGTAGTCTGGTTTCAGGAATAAATAATAATAGTGTTGTCAGTAAGGACTATGTCTTAAGAGAAGGATTTATGTATAATATCATGAAGGTGGCAGGTCAGAAACCCCTAGGTGGGCAGGCTAATTGAAATTTCACGGCTATTGAAGATGAATTGCCTTTTCTGACCTGTGGGTTCCTCCTGAGTTTAATGATGTGTCATAGTTCCATGGGACAGAGCTGTTGGGGTGAATGCAGTCCTAAGCTGAGTTTCTGATACCAAGCGAGAGGCTTACTTGACTGGCAGGTGGCAGGACCTGACGTATTCTGAGACCCACCTTCATGTTAAAAACACTATTAATAAGAGCAGTATAAACACCCAAATGGTGTAATAGTTTAATGAAGTGATAGCATTAATAAGAAAAGCTGACTTTTGTAATATAAAAGTATAAAAATGAAGCTGTCTTGAAATATTAAAAAAATGTTTATAAGCATCAGAATTTCATCTGGTAACAATTTCTCAGGGTTTTTCCAAAAAAGAGCTTTTCATTGGGATAATGATCTATACAACTTTTTTCATCATGTCATAAATAAGGTGACCAAGTATACCTGTAATATTTACCTATGATTTATATAGCTTTTAAACATTCTAATGCTGTATGGTTCAAATTTATTATCTTTGAAAAATGCTTTGAAACCAACTTCCGTAATTGGACTGCTTCAGAATCTTCATCTGCTTTTTAAATTTATATTTCAAGATCATAGTTTATCTCTTTAAAAATATAGTTCTGGTAGTGGGTTAGATTTGTGAGTTATTTAATGAAAAAAGTGGGTATATGCAAAAATTGTAGATGCCTCCCACCCTTTTGTCCTTGACTGTAAAAAATAGTGGAAGAGAAAACTGAGGAAAAAATAAGATGTTCTACAAATACAATGACTGTGTGCAAACAACTGGATTGATAACTATAAAACAGAACAAGAACCAGAAGATGTAGCTGTACAAACTAGTGGGTTTTTTTTTAAATAAAAGATTATTCTGCAGTGAGATTTTTGAAACACATGCAAAATTTGTTTTCAAATCTCTTTGCACATCTATCTCTTGGCTCTCATTAAATCTGTAAAGCTTATCAATTTGGCATTTTTTCAGATCAACATAAGTCAGTCTCAGAAAGCAAATAATGATTGATTTTTAAAGCAGAGAGAGAGTTTTCAGCTTGGTGCTGTTATTTTGATAATGCACCTAACTATTTGTATATGTCTTCCTTTACTTTCCTTGCTCCACAGGTTTGCCATCAGCAAATTTGGCCGCGCCTAACCTCACTGTGGAGGAGGGAAAGTCTATCACATTATCTTGTACTGTTGCAGGTGACCCAGTTCCCAATTTGTACTGGGATGTCGGTAATCTGGTTTCCAAGCACATGGTAAGGCTTGTATTTGTTTGTTCACAGAGATGAGAATGTCTCTGAACTTGAGATTGTATTAACCTAGTGATGATAATTTAATATTTCATAGGTCCACATAGAGATTTACAATGAGTTTTGTTGTATATTTACTTTCTGTCTATTCTTACTAAACAAAGACGAATGCAGATTGTATTTTAGTTATGTATACTTCATAGATTGAAAAGTCTGTAGGTCTCTAGTAAGCTTTTTGTTTCATCATGAGCAAGGTGACTCTCATTGTGGTTTTTTCCCTTCGAGGAAGGTAGATAGGAATTCAAGGATTAAATCAGCTTCACACATTTATCATTGAAATCCAGAGATAACAGAATAACTTCTGAGTTGCCCCTTTTATTGAGCTTCATTAGACTGGAATTTTTTTCTAGTGTTATAGATGATTTTCTCTAGTTAGGGGAAGAAATGCCAAATCTTCTCACTATTGGCTTCAGTTCTAATCAAGATTATTTTTGTCTGTTAATTCATTTGTAGAATGAAACAAGCCACACACAGGGATCATTAAGGATAACTAACATTTCATCTGATGACAGTGGAAAGCAAATCTCTTGTGTGGCAGAAAATCTTGTAGGAGAAGATCAAGATTCTGTCAACCTCACTGTACATTGTACGTAATCAGATCAACGTGTGTTTTTAATAGAAAAGATCGTGGACACACCCGCATTTGTGGTCGGGGACCTCTGCTGCTTTGTGCGTGAAAAAAGTATATGCAGTGTTTTGTGCGTCCTTAATTAAGAAATGTTACCAGCTCCTTCCATTCCTTCTATTTCTGCTAATCTCTCTTGTTCATGTGTTGTCTTTAAGCTTCTTTATCGATCTTAAACTTGTCCTATTGTGCCTTATCCTGTCTTTTCTTGATAGAACATATTTTGAGCTGGTTATCTTCCTTTTGTTAATAAGTTGTAGTTTAAATTTTGATAAACTAGTTTCTAAATTTTGTTCTCTATAAAAGCAATATGAACCTTTAAAGTTGTGATACCTAAAGTATTGGGCTGGCTGTTCATACTCAATATATTGTTGATACAAAAAATAAACCTCATTAGTTTGACATCAAGCTTCTGTGGGAAGTGGAAGGAATACTACTAAAATGGTTGAAAATTATTATTACTTTCAAAAAACTTTTATTATTATAATTGCTTTAAGTTTCTGTCTTCTGAAGATAAAGGATATTAATGTTTCTTTAGCATATGTACATTGTTTTCCAGTATTGTAAACAATGCAACATATATCTTAACATTCCAGATTATCTCATTCAATGTGAATGATGTACATATTCAGTAAAAAGTATATAATCTTCACATCATTGCAAATTCTGAGCTGCCGCGGTATAAATTAATGAGGTTTTACTCTAAATTAGGATTTGGCTGAGAAAAACACGAGTGTGCACAAGTATGGATGTGCATTATACACATGTGGACACAAGGTGTTGATACACTGATTAGCATTCACTCATAACACACATTCCTTATGTGACTGTTGGAGTGAATGATTGAAATCACCAACCTTTTGCCAGTGTCAATACTACCTCGATGCCCAGAAGGTCCTGGACTCATAATTTCTGATGATCTTGACCAATCTTGAAGTCAGTGTCATCCCCAAACACGTACAACCAAGCTTCCAGCTTTATGTCCTTAAATCAGCACCCCACAAAAAGTACATAAGAATGTGGTGGCAGGAAGAAGTGGGGCCTGGGCATATGGGGACCTGGGCTGGTGGGAGGAAGGTAAGTATTGTCCCTCCCCCACTGTGGTCCTTTGTGTTTGTCACACAGACCTACAAATAAGGGCACTCCAATTCAAATGTTTTTCAGTTTAGGTAGTATCTATGTAGACTCCCTGGTCTGGAGAGCTGGTCTAGCCTATCAAAGTTTAGATAATGAGAAATAAGTGATAGGGAATATTAACAACTGAGAGACCCTGTGCAGTGACCCACTCAGATGTATTAGTTGCCAGGCTATGATTTCCCCACTTTGTGTGATGAACATGTATAACCAGGAAGTGAGGCATGAAGGGAAGGGCATTAGGAGTTCTGGATTTTTGGTCCAGATTTTCCTCACTCAGTAACCTTGGCTAAATCACTTAACCTCATAGCACTTGGGTTTTTCATCTGAAAAAATGATACTATTAGGTCTCAAAGGTCTTTTCCAGTCCTCAATTTTATACTTATCAAAGTCAGAACACATGAAAATGGACCACATGAATCCCACTTAAGAGGGATTTTAAGTGTCTTCACTCAGGATAAGTACTCTGTTTAAAGATGCTACTTGATAATGTTTGTTTCCCTTAAGAGTAAAGTGCTTTATATTTAATTTTAAAATAATCTCTAGTTTGCTTTTCAGGTTTAGATAGGGTCTCAGACATTTAAAGGATCAAAACTTTGATGTATCTGAAATTCTAGTAAAAATGGACTGTACTATAATGAAAAGTGATGCTTTTAAAGGGCATTTACTATTGACAATCAGTGAAAAATATATCAATTTATCAGACTTTATAATAATCAGTCAACATCAGGAGTAACATTCTTTGCATTGACCAGTTTTATTTGTTTTGGAAAATTTATGTGCGATCCATGCTTCAGGCAAGATTTCCAAAGTCATTTTTGTCATTGTATTATTTAGCACAGCCCTGTAAGAATAGTGGTCCTCAATGTTTTGGTGATTAATCTCCATAATATCAAGGCAATGTGTTAGAAACCAAAGTCAACTTCAGATGAGCCCTTTCCACTGTCAGAAATCACTGGGATCTGTTTGGAGTTGATTCTCACACTGAACAGGTGTAAAGATGGCTATGGTGTATGGATCTTAGGCAGAGCAGATTCGTTCTGAAGCTCTCTGTAAAAGTTAAATCAAACTTGATGATGATACAAAATATTGATGGATTCCAGAGTTGCAGGTCATATGTTTTCTTAAACCAAACAATGGTTGAGTAAGACCCCCCCCCCGCCCCCCGCCTATCTATGACACAGAGACTTGGAGATGGGGAGAATTCTGAGCTTTCTGATGCTATTAACTCTCTCTTTTTCAATTTAGTTGCTCCAACTATCACATTTCTCGAATCTCCAACCTCAGACCACCACTGGTGCATTCCATTCACTGTGAAAGGCAATCCCAAGCCAGCGCTTCAGTGGTTCTATAACGGGGCAATTTTGAATGAGTCCAAATACATCTGTACTAAAATCCATGTTACCAATCATACGGAGTACCACGGCTGCCTCCAGCTGGATAACCCCACTCACATGAACAATGGGGACTACAAGTTAGTAGCCAAGAATGAATATGGGAAGGATGAGAAACAGATTTCTGCTCACTTCATGGGCTGGCCTGGAATCGATGATGGTGAGTACCTGATGTTTTTGCGTCTGGAGAGGGCCAGTGTGTATCACTCAACTATTGACAACATCATGAGTACAATAAACCACTCCCAAACCCAGTGACTTGAAACAAACATTTAATCTTGCTCATGGGCCTATAGATCAGCGAGGGGAATTTTGTTGCATGTGTGTTTGTTCTGGGGTGCAGGGTGCAGAAGCAGCAGCTACACAGGAGATCTACTTCTTAGGATAAGTACAAAGTGCAGGAGGATAGCAAAAAAAAAAAAAAAAAATGCAAGCCTTCATAAGGCCTCCTTTTGGGGTTGGTGCACAGTTTCTTCAACTTGTATGCCATTGGCCAAAGCAAATCATAGGGCCAGGGTCAATCCAGGGGCAGGGCTCATACTCCTCCCATGGAGGTGATAGGGATGAATAATTTGAACAATATTCTGACAACACACACATTATTTTTCTCTCAAGTGTTATATGAGATTTTGTACCCACAGTGACAAAATACAAGCAAATCTGTGAGCAGGTGAACTGAATTTGGTCGGCTCATGCGCTGTTTGAGGTATATTTTCCGACCCTTTAACCAGTTGGGATTCAGAATCCTGCTCCCTCATCTGTGGGTGAGAAACCAGTGTTGTGGAATGTTTTGTTTACCTGGGCTGACTGAGTTAAGGCATCCATTGATGGAATCCTGAATTATTTTTCTAAGAGTGATACTAGTTCCCATCTGACCAATGGTTTGAATTGGGAAAAGGATGGCTCGTATTGGGAGTCTAGTCCATGGTCAGCAGAAGAATTTCAGTGGGAGCCCCAGTAACAGCAGGGACAATATCATGTGTTTACTTGCTCCAGACACTCTTGTTCAGTGAAAGTATTCTTACTTGCTTGATCATATTGCCCAAATACCTGATACCATTGTGGAGGATGAGCCATGTGTTTGGATATTGGACCTGTTCATGATTAGAATTCCTCACCATAATAGCTCTGAATTAATCAAAGCCACACAAAGCCAGCCTTGCAGAGAGAAGGGAAAATAGAAAGTTGGAGGTCAGTGGGGCAGGGGCTAATTGGGCAGCAGGTACTAGTATGGCTCCCAGGACAGCCCCATGGACAAAGGGCGATGGCTGCCAAGCCACCTTCACCAAATGAGAATGCAATAATTCTTGTTACACAATCCATCTTCCTGTTATCCTGGTATTTATTCAACAGCTTTTTAAATGCACCAGCTTCCTTAGTGTGCTCAAAATGTGATTTGAATTATATAAGTTTGATTTACAAACAGCCTTTCAGGAGCACATAAAACAAGCTATGTTTGGATGCTTTACCCAGACACCCTGGCAGTTGTTGTCTGTTTCATTAAATCTTCCTCTTAATTGAGAGTTTAGTTGCTTGGCTACATTCGCTGTAGTAAATCGCTAGATTACTGTGTTCATTTTCTTCCTGCACATTTGTGGGGATAACAGCTTTATAGTTAAATCCAGAATCTCTGCTTCTGGGACAGTGGCTTTTTGTATGTTTTTAAATGAACATTTTATTTGTGAATAATTTTTAATCTACAAAAAGTTATAGAGATGGTACCAAGAGTTCACAGCTACCCCTCACCTGATTTTCCTGTTGCTAACATCTTGCACTGCTTACTTTTGTCAAAACTAAGAAACTGACGTCACATTGGTACATTATTCTCATCTAAACTTAAGGATTTATGTGAATTTCGCCAACAACTGGCTTCTGAAACTGTTGGAGGTGAACTTGATTCCAGGTTGAAGGTCTGGCATTTAAAAGTTTTAGAAGTGGTTTGTAAGCTTTGTTATGAGCACAGTTCTGTCAGTGTAAAGCCAGAAGCTTCTATTTTAGATAGGATTTTTATGTGTTTTCTTTTGAACATTTCTATACAATACCAATATTTGATACAGTTTAACTCATCCATGTGGCCTCATTTTTGTCGATGGCTTTTGTTAGTTTTAACTTAGCTAGTGATTGGAAAGAGTGGTTCTCTGGTCTAAGAATAGCTCGAAGTCTCTCAAGTATTCCCTTAAAAGGAAATAATTGTTTATTTATCTACAACAAAAATTAAGCCATATTTTTTAAAAGATGTTCTTTCCTTTTCTTTCTTTTCATTTATTCTTTTTTATCAGATCTTTAAAATAAATATGGCTTTAGAAAAGATGATTTTTCTTTCACTTTAAGTATTTACTCAAGGACCCACTATCAGGGAGTAATAAATGAAAGTGGAAATGAAAGAGACTTGGCCCAGGGTGATAGTGGATATAAATGGCCCATATGGGCCATAAACCAGTGAGACCAGTTAAGAGACTGACCTCACTTGGCTTGTATGATAGAATCTTTGTGGATATTTATGCAATTTGTAGCCTACAGATAATGGCTTTTCTTAGAAATACTTTCTTTCCCTCTTAACTCCCCTGAAAACTAAAGAAAAATTTACAAAGGGAAATATTATATATATGTATATATAATACTATATATATTTAGACCCTGCTGGTCTAAATGTACATTCTACCTTAAGGTCATGTTTGAGTTTATGGTCCTTAAGTATTTCTGTTGTCATCATACAGTAATTGATCAAGAAGTTCAGCTCTCACAAATCTCCATGATACAAAGTTACAGCTAGTTTTCCCCCTAGTTGTTTTGACGAAATCCTTTTGTTCACACTGCGAGTTTCTGGACTTACCAGGAAACAGGCAGTCTGGGATTTCTGTGAAGTCAGTTGCATCACTGTATAAATCCAGAAGAATTAAAACAGCAGCTCTTCCGTCTTTAGTCGCATGTGTTCCTCATTCAGCTTAGAACTCAGATTTCCATGAAATGGTCACCTTGTTTAAGAATTCACTCTCTATTTGGAGATAGAGAAGGAAGCATGTTGAAATTAAAACAGAAATAAAAACAGATAAATAAAAAGCACCTAAAAATATAAAAATGGGTGAGCATGGAAGAGGATGACTGAACTTAGTGACCGTCCCAATTGCCTTTCACACTGCATGGAGTGGAAACATGGGATGTTGTGGCAGATGCTCTGTTTTCCACTTGGAGCAGAGAGACCCCAAGCCAGCATCAGCCAGGCCAAGAGGGTGCCATCTACAGGTGTGGGGATGTGAGACTGGAAGTAAAGATCCCCGTGTGTCTCTCCAGAGTGCTGGAACCTTGCAGAGTCTGACACCAGACACCAGCCCCAGCCTGGGTGCTGTGAGGAGGGACAGGCGTTATCAGGTCTTTAGATGTCCGCAGGACCCAGGTACCAGTCCAGATCATCACTGGCAACCTGACTTGCAACTGAGAAAGGGTGTCAAGATTTTCTAAACACTACATTGGTTATTTCTTCCCATGCTTGGAATTGAACTCAGCTCTGGTCAGTTTTGAATTATATTTAAAGTACAACAAGGAGCTTTCTGCTTCAAAATGCATCTGGAGAACAGTGATTTTTATCTTTCTAGCACATGGAAGAGCACAGCTGGTGACAAATTCATTTCATTTCCTCTTGGTTTTCCGTTGTCCCTTTACTATTTAGTCACTTCTTGGTCTACTAGAACAGTAGCATCCTGTTCTTTGTTGCACATTAATGGGTGAGTTTTAATTGTTTTTTTTTAATCTTCTTTCATTTTTTAAGACACATTTCTGGGGCCCATCTCTAGCAATTCTGATTCTGTGGTTCCAGGGTGAGGCTTGGGCTTTGGCATTTTTCATTTTTGAGATTCCCCAGTGGTCCCAGTGTGCAGCCAAGGGTGAGAGTCACTTGTCTGGGATGGAATTCTGACCCAAGCAAGATTTTTCTGCTCATTATTGAGTAACAGACAATCCTTGGATCACTTGAGGTTGCAGATGGAACCTCAACTGCAAAGCAGGATGTCGCTTCTGAGTTAGAAATCAACTCTGGACTTGATTTAAGGGTCAGTCTTTTCTCCCCTCTTTGTGCAGGCTGGCAGCATGGGGCTGGGGGCTAGAGCTAGCTAATGAGACTTAAGCTTTTGTGCTGCCTGGGTGGAGGGGATGGGCATGGGGATGGAGGGCAGGGAAGTGTACTGGCTGGTGGTTTGTGCTCTTGGGACCTGGGTGTGTTCAATGTTGATTCACAGATCATCTTTCCTGGAGACCTTTGGGATTCCTTTCTCTGTAACCCCCTCTCCTGAAGCTCCCATGACATAAATGCATCTGTGTTCTGGCTGCTGAAAGTAGCTCCTCCTTCATACCCAGGAATGTAGCTTTGTACTTTTGGGGCTCCCTCTGGCCCTCCAGACTCCCCCACAGACTTCCTTCTGTGCTGCCTCCATCTGGTCCAGGGGAGCCCTCACAATCCCTTGTCCTGACAATTCTGGGCACACAGGTGGGACCCAGATGTCAGCTGCATCCCACCACCACACGTGGCCCGAGCCATCTCTGGCAGAGTCAGCCGCTGGTCCTTGAGCCTTTCACCTGCACAGAACACAGGTCATGTTCTCAAGTGCAGCTGTGGAAGCCCCATGGTGGGGTGGTGATGATGGTGACACTTCTCCCCAAAGAAACTTCTTTATAAGTCCTTCCTTAAAAAAAAAAAAAAAGTTCTTCCTTTTTCTCTCCTCTCTGGGACCTTTGAAAATCTCTTCATGAATCAGGTATTTCAAAGGACATGGATTCAATCATTGCTTTTGTGAATTCCACCTTTGGTGCTCACTTTGGTGTTGGTTGCTAAGGCAGAAAGAGTCTTGCTTAACATCCTGTCGTACTAGAATTCTAGGATTTTGAACAATTTGTCAGGTCTCTCTGGAGGGCTTCCCTGGTGGCTCAGAGGTTAAAGTGTCTGCCTGCAGTGCAGGAGACCTGGATTCGATCCCTGGGTCAGGAAGATCCCCTGGAGAAGGAAATGGCAACCTGCTCCAGTATTCTTGCCTGGAGAATCCCATGGGCGGAGGAGCCTGGTGGGCTACAGTCCACGGGGTCGCAAAGAGTCAGACACGACTGAGCGACTTCACTTTCACTTTCTGGAGGTTTGAGAAACAGAAAATGATGGGCTTCCTGCTGGATGGT